GTCCTCTGCACTCACCGCGCACCAGGCAGTCCTCTGCACTCACCGCGCACCAGGCAGTCCTCTGCACTCACCGCGCACCAGGCAGTCCTCTGCACTCACCGCGCACCAGGCAGTCCTCTGCACTCACCGCGCACCAGGCAGTCCTCTGCACTCACCGCGCACCAGGCAGTCCTCTGCACTCACCGCGCACCAGGCAGTCCTCTGCACTCACCGCGCACCAGGCAGTCCTCTGCACTCACCGCGCACCAGGCAGTCCTCTGCACTCACCGCGCACCAGGCAGTCCTCTGCACTCACCGCGCACCAGGCAGTCCTCTGCACTCACCGCGCACCAGGCAGTCCTCTGCACTCACCGCGCACCAGGCAGTCCTCTGCACTCACCGCGCACCAGGCAGTCCTCTGCACTCACCGCGCACCAGGCAGTCCTCTGCACTCACCGCGCACCAGGCAGTCCTCTGCACTCACCGCGCACCAGGCAGTCCTCTGCACTCACCGCGCACCAGGCAGTCCTCTGCACTCACCGCGCACCAGGCAGTCCTCTGCACTCACCGCGCACCAGGCAGTCCTCTGCACTCACCGCGCACCAGGCAGTCCTCTGCACTCACCGCGCACCAGGCAGTCCTCTGCACTCACCGCGCACCAGGCAGTCCTCTGCACTCACCGCGCACCAGGCAGTCCTCTGCACTCACCGCGCACCAGGCAGTCCTCTGCACTCACCGCGCACCAGGCAGTCCTCTGCACTCACCGCGCACCAGGCAGTCCTCTGCACTCACCGCGCACCAGGCAGTCCTCTGCACTCACCGCGCACCAGGCAGTCCTCTGCACTCACCGCGCACCAGGCAGTCCTCTGCACTCACCGCGCACCAGGCAGTCCTCTGCACTCACCGCGCACCAGGCAGTCCTCTGCACTCACCGCGCACCAGGCAGTCCTCTGCACTCACCGCGCACCAGGCAGTCCTCTGCACTCACCGCGCACCAGGCAGTCCTCTGCACTCACCGCGCACCAGGCAGTCCTCTGCACTCACCGCGCACCAGGCAGTCCTCTGCACTCACCGCGCACCAGGCAGTCCTCTGCACTCACCGCGCACCAGGCAGTCCTCTGCACTCACCGCGCACCAGGCAGTCCTCTGCACTCACCGCGCACCAGGCAGTCCTCTGCACTCACCGCGCACCAGGCAGTCCTCTGCACTCACCGCGCACCAGGCAGTCCTCTGCACTCACCGCGCACCAGGCAGTCCTCTGCACTCACCGCGCACCAGGCAGTCCTCTGCACTCACCGCGCACCAGGCAGTCCTCTGCACTCACCGCGCACCAGGCAGTCCTCTGCACTCACCGCGCACCAGGCAGTCCTCTGCACTCACCGCGCACCAGGCAGTCCTCTGCACTCACCGCGCACCAGGCAGTCCTCTGCACTCACCGCGCACCAGGCAGTCCTCTGCACTCACCGCGCACCAGGCAGTCCTCTGCACTCACCGCGCACCAGGCAGTCCTCTGCACTCACCGCGCACCAGGCAGTCCTCTGCACTCACCGCGCACCAGGCAGTCCTCTGCACTCACCGCGCACCAGGCAGTCCTCTGCACTCACCGCGCACCAGGCAGTCCTCTGCACTCACCGCGCACCAGGCAGTCCTCTGCACTCACCGCGCACCAGGCAGTCCTCTGCACTCACCGCGCACCAGGCAGTCCTCTGCACTCACCGCGCACCAGGCAGTCCTCTGCACTCACCGCGCACCAGGCAGTCCTCTGCACTCACCGCGCACCAGGCAGTCCTCTGCACTCACCGCGCACCAGGCAGTCCTCTGCACTCACCGCGCACCAGGCAGTCCTCTGCACTCACCGCGCACCAGGCAGTCCTCTGCACTCACCGCGCACCAGGCAGTCCTCTGCACTCACCGCGCACCAGGCAGTCCTCTGCACTCACCGCGCACCAGGCAGTCCTCTGCACTCACCGCGCACCAGGCAGTCCTCTGCACTCACCGCGCACCAGGCAGTCCTCTGCACTCACCGCGCACCAGGCAGTCCTCTGCACTCACCGCGCACCAGGCAGTCCTCTGCACTCACCGCGCACCAGGCAGTCCTCTGCACTCACCGCGCACCAGGCAGTCCTCTGCACTCACCGCGCACCAGGCAGTCCTCTGCACTCACCGCGCACCAGGCAGTCCTCTGCACTCACCGCGCACCAGGCAGTCCTCTGCACTCACCGCGCACCAGGCAGTCCTCTGCACTCACCGCGCACCAGGCAGTCCTCTGCACTCACCGCGCACCAGGCAGTCCTCTGCACTCACCGCGCACCAGGCAGTCCTCTGCACTCACCGCGCACCAGGCAGTCCTCTGCACTCACCGCGCACCAGGCAGTCCTCTGCACTCACCGCGCACCAGGCAGTCCTCTGCACTCACCGCGCACCAGGCAGTCCTCTGCACTCACCGCGCACCAGGCAGTCCTCTGCACTCACCGCGCACCAGGCAGTCCTCTGCACTCACCGCGCACCAGGCAGTCCTCTGCACTCACCGCGCACCAGGCAGTCCTCTGCACTCACCGCGCACCAGGCAGTCCTCTGCACTCACCGCGCACCAGGCAGTCCTCTGCACTCACCGCGCACCAGGCAGTCCTCTGCACTCACCGCGCACCAGGCAGTCCTCTGCACTCACCGCGCACCAGGCAGTCCTCTGCACTCACCGCGCACCAGGCAGTCCTCTGCACTCACCGCGCACCAGGCAGTCCTCTGCACTCACCGCGCACCAGGCAGTCCTCTGCACTCACCGCGCACCAGGCAGTCCTCTGCACTCACCGCGCACCAGGCAGTCCTCTGCACTCACCGCGCACCAGGCAGTCCTCTGCACTCACCGCGCACCAGGCAGTCCTCTGCACTCACCGCGCACCAGGCAGTCCTCTGCACTCACCGCGCACCAGGCAGTCCTCTGCACTCACCGCGCACCAGGCAGTCCTCTGCACTCACCGCGCACCAGGCAGTCCTCTGCACTCACCGCGCACCAGGCAGTCCTCTGCACTCACCGCGCACCAGGCAGTCCTCTGCACTCACCGCGCACCAGGCAGTCCTCTGCACTCACCGCGCACCAGGCAGTCCTCTGCACTCACCGCGCACCAGGCAGTCCTCTGCACTCACCGCGCACCAGGCAGTCCTCTGCACTCACCGCGCACCAGGCAGTCCTCTGCACTCACCGCGCACCAGGCAGTCCTCTGCACTCACCGCGCACCAGGCAGTCCTCTGCACTCACCGCGCACCAGGCAGTCCTCTGCACTCACCGCGCACCAGGCAGTCCTCTGCACTCACCGCGCACCAGGCAGTCCTCTGCACTCACCGCGCACCAGGCAGTCCTCTGCACTCACCGCGCACCAGGCAGTCCTCTGCACTCACCGCGCACCAGGCAGTCCTCTGGCACTCACCGCGCACCAGGCAGTCCTCTGCACTCACCGCGCACCAGGCAGTCCTCTGCACTCACCGCGCACCAGGCAGTCCTCTGCACTCACCGCGCACCAGGCAGTCCTCTGCACTCACCGCGCACCAGGCAGTCCTCTGCACTCACCGCGCACCAGGCAGTCCTCTGCACTCACCGCGCACCAGGCAGTCCTCTGCACTCACCGCGCACCAGGCAGTCCTCTGCACTCACCGCGCACCAGGCAGTCCTCTGCACTCACCGCGCACCAGGCAGTCCTCTGCACTCACCGCGCACCAGGCAGTCCTCTGCACTCACCGCGCACCAGGCAGTCCTCTGCACTCACCGCGCACCAGGCAGTCCTCTGGACTCACCGCGCACCAGGCAGTCCTCTGCACTCACCGCGCACCAGGCAGTCCTCTGCACTCACCGCGCACCAGGCAGTCCTCTGCACTCACCGCGCACCAGGCAGTCCTCTGCACTCACCGCGCACCAGGCAGTCCTCTGCACTCACCGCGCACCAGGCAGTCCTCTGCACTCACCGCGCACCAGGCAGTCCTCTGCACTCACCGCGCACCAGGCAGTCCTCTGCACTCACCGCGCACCAGGCAGTCCTCTGCACTCACCGCGCACCAGGCAGTCCTCTGCACTCACCGCGCACCAGGCAGTCCTCTGCACTCACCGCGCACCAGGCAGTCCTCTGCACTCACCGCGCACCAGGCAGTCCTCTGCACTCACCGCGCACCAGGCAGTCCTCTGCACTCACCGCGCACCAGGCAGTCCTCTGCACTCACCGCGCACCAGGCAGTCCTCTGCACTCACCGCGCACCAGGCAGTCCTCTGCACTCACCGCGCACCAGGCAGTCCTCTGCACTCACCGCGCACCAGGCAGTCCTCTGCACTCACCGCGCACCAGGCAGTCCTCTGCACTCACCGCGCACCAGGCAGTCCTCTGCACTCACCGCGCACCAGGCAGTCCTCTGCACTCACCGCGCACCAGGCAGTCCTCTGCACTCACCGCGCACCAGGCAGTCCTCTGCACTCACCGCGCACCAGGCAGTCCTCTGCACTCACCGCGCACCAGGCAGTCCTCTGCACTCACCGCGCACCAGGCAGTCCTCTGCACTCACCGCGCACCAGGCAGTCCTCTGCACTCACCGCGCACCAGGCAGTCCTCTGCACTCACCGCGCACCAGGCAGTCCTCTGCACTCACCGCGCACCAGGCAGTCCTCTGCACTCACCGCGCACCAGGCAGTCCTCTGCACTCACCGCGCACCAGGCAGTCCTCTGCACTCACCGCGCACCAGGCAGTCCTCTGCACTCACCGCGCACCAGGCAGTCCTCTGCACTCACCGCGCACCAGGCAGTCCTCTGCACTCACCGCGCACCAGGCAGTCCTCTGCACTCACCGCGCACCAGGCAGTCCTCTGCACTCACCGCGCACCAGGCAGTCCTCTGCACTCACCGCGCACCAGGCAGTCCTCTGCACTCACCGCGCACCAGGCAGTCCTCTGCACTCACCGCGCACCAGGCAGTCCTCTGCACTCACCGCGCACCAGGCAGTCCTCTGCACTCACCGCGCACCAGGCAGTCCTCTGCACTCACCGCGCACCAGGCAGTCCTCGGTGAAGCGCTGCAGGCGGCGGCGGGCGAAGGCGAGGAGGCGGGGCATGGCGATGCTCGCCACCTGCACCGCGGAGCTGCTCTCTGGGTCGTTGGGTCTGGGCTGCCTGCACGGTGGCAGGCACGAGAGGACGTGAGAGGGCGCAAACGAATGTGAGTGGGCGTGAGGGAGGGTGAGAGGAGCTGCCGCCCAGGTCGCTAGCCCTGGGCTGCCTGCATGGTGGTGGGGCACAACCGATTGTCCAATCCAAGCAACAAGCAATATTTTCATTTATAATCTGCTGGTCAGGTCGCTGAGGCTGGGCTGCTTGACGGGTGGTGGACGTGAGAGGGCATGAAAAGTGAGTGGCTGTGGCAGCACAATTTGCTACTTGTGCACTGCACTCTAAGCCCTTGCTAGTGCAGCACAAAACTACTTGTCCCCCTCCTTGCTGCCCATACTGCTACTGCTGCTGCTGATGATGCCGCTATCATGGCTAAACACGGAAGAATGTGCCCCGCAGTTGCAGGAATGGCAATTTATTCACGCTGCTGGTGCGATCAACTCACCCTGCAAGAGCGGAGGGTAAGCCACTCACCCGCAGATCTGGGGCAGCAGGTGGATGGCAGTGAAGCACACAGGGTGCAACGTCTCCCTCCACATGCCGCAGCCCCCCTCACCACTGCCACCACCACTGCCGCCATTGTCACCCACGCTGCCGCTGCCTACCCCAACCAGCGAATGATCCACTATGCCCCCATCGCTGCCTCTGCTTCCACTCCCCACAGCAACAGCACTGCTGCTTCTCGTCCTGCTCACCACCACATGCCCACCACTGCCACTGCCACCGTTGCCACTCAAGCCGTCGCTTCCCCCTCTTCCCACACTGCCTGTCGCCTTCACCTGCCCCCCTGCCCCTGCCCCACCAGCAGCACCCCACCCCAGCCAGCTACCCACGCGCGCAAGCCCACTCAGAGGCGCAGCTGCCTTCCCCTCGCCCTTAGGCCCCTGCCCTCCTGAACCAGCACCTGAGCCTGACCATGAACCTGAGCCTGGGGCTGCAGCAGAGGCAGAGGCGGAGGCAGGGGTTGGGCCGGAGGCAGTGCGGAGAGGCGAGACAGAGACTGCAGGGGTGGAGAAGGAGCGGGAGCGGTCCGGTGCGGCACGGTGGGATGCAGTGCTGGTGGCAGGGGAGAGGATTCTTGTACTGCTACCAGTTGCTGCCAGACTGCCGTTGCTTGCTGGTGCAGCCGCGGCTGCTTTGCTGGGCGCTTTTCCTGATGAGAGAGGGGAACGAGAGCGAGAGGGGGTGACAAACTGATTGAATGGACACATGTAAAAGAGGGGAGTGGAATAGAGGAGTTAGCACCAACAGAGGTGACAGTGAAGCATCACAGATTGGAACGAGAGAGGTCGTGCAAGCCGCCAAACGCACCTTGCTCGGAGCCACTGTGCCCTGAGCTCCCACGGCCACGGCCACCCCCTGTGAGCTGCACCTCCCCCACGGCCCTCTCTGCCAGGTCCAGCAGCAGCCCCACCAGGCGCTGCTTCACCTGGTGTGGAGCGGAGGGGGCATGAGGGGGAGCGATGCACACGAAACTGTCACTGTGCTGGGTGCGGGCGGAATGAATGGTGGAGTCAACGTTCGAGGGGCATTGATGACTGGCTGTCAGTCACCGCACGCACCGCTTCCCGGAAGATCCCTACCTGATCCGGGAAGGGCAGCGGGGCGGCTATAGCAGCAAAGGCGGGTGCACGTACACGTGAGTAGTGCAAACCGTGTGAGTCTGTGTGGGCCATATTCCTGTCCCGGCCCCCGCTCACCTCCAGTGGCGCGTCTTGGCAGTATCTGAGCACTTTCTCTCCCAGCAACCGCACCATCCGCTCCTGTAGCACCTCGTCCTCATGCACCTGAGCCGGCGGCAGATTTTGGACGGACCCAGACTGCCACTCCCCCGTGCCCATGCCCCTGACGACCCCCTCCCCTGCGCACATGCCGCGCACCACGCCCTCGTACAGCGCCACCAGCTCCTTCCAGAACCGCTGCCGCACTGCCGCCTCCCACGTGGCCGTGGCGCCCGACAGTGCCACGCTCTGCTGCTGCTGCTGCTGCTGCTGCTGCTGCTGCTGCTGCTGCTGCTGCTGCTGCTGCTGCTGCTGCTGCTGCTGCTGCTGCTGCCCCTCCTGCTGGTGTGTGCACTGACCTTGTGTCTCTTCCACCGCTGCATCACTATCGCTCCTTGAACCTGCCTCCGCCTCTCCATGCGGCCCTGCCTCGGCCGTTCCATGCTGCTCCCTGCCCTCCTTCCCCTTCTCCCCGCCCCCCCTGCTCTCTGCTGCCGCCGTTCCAGCGATGGGGGCAGATGGGGCTTGTTGGGATCCAGCAGGCGAGGCGGATAGGGCGGATGGGGCGGAGGGGGCGGAGGGGGCGGGGGAAGAGGGGAGGGGGAGGAGGTGCGGGGGGCAGTCGAGCAGCAGCGCGTGGTCGAGGACGTCGGCGAACTGCAGCACGGACGTGCGCCACAGCGGCGAGTTGGGCTGCTCCTGCCGCACCGCCAGGCACCTGTGAAAGGGGGGGGAGGGGGAGGGCGGGGGGGGGTTTGAGGGGTGACGGGTGAGGGATGAACAATGGAGGTTGGTCAAAGGAGGAGGAGGGTGGGGAGGGGGAGGGAAGGGGAGGGGGACAAGTGAAGGAAGATGGGGCGACGAGGTGGAGCATGCCGGCGAACTGCAGCACGGAGGTGAGTTGGGTGTCCCTCGTGTGCAGAAGCAGCACGGACGTGCGCCACAGGGGCGAGTTTGGCTGCTCCTGCCGCACCGCTAGGCACCTGGACGGGGGAAGTTTGAGGGGTGAGGGGTGAACGAGCTAGGCGCGAGGTGGGGTTGAACGGTGAGGGATGAACGAATGGGGGGTGATCGAAGGGGGAGGTGGGCCAGGAGGGGGGAGAGGGACGGGGAGGGGGAGGGAGAGGGGGAAGTGGGGAGGGGGGAAAACGAAGGGAGACGGGCCGGCGTGGTCGCGATGTCGTTCTCGCCTTAACCTTACGGCACGGGGAACCTCATCTCTCCCTCTCGCCTCTCCCGCCTCTCCCGCCGCCCGTCCCAACCGATGGCGCTCTCGCCTTCACCCCACGGCAGGAAGAACCTTCTTTCCTCCTCTCATCTCTCACCTCCCGCCTCTCGCCTCTCCCGCCCGACCGCCGGCCCGAACCATCCCACTTTTTTATTTTCGCGACCCTCCCCCTCTCCAGTAATCCCACTCCTTTTTTTCGCGACGCTACATTTTCGTCTAGGACATGTTTAGACCACAGGCTTAAGATTAACGGTAACACCTGGTTTCGCGCACCTGCCGAGCCACGCAATCAGGTCTGGAATAGCTTCGGGTGACACCTTGCGATAACCCGAAGCTAGCTCCGCCATGCCGGCCCTCGGCCGAAGCAGGTGCGTTCGGGTCAATCCGTGCAGGCAACCCGCTAAGCTATGAGAAGCGTTGTGGGCCCCACGTGCCACGTGGCAGGTACGTGCGCCCTATAATCAACCTACGTGCCTTTCACAAGCAGATCGAGAGGCATTCGCCGACACCGGATCGTGCGCGGCGATGGGGAGATACGCTCTTCACTACCGAAATAGTGGGCGATGCTTCTCTCCCTCGTGGCTGTCCTGTTCATAATATCTTTCGTTGTAGCTGTAGAGTATCCTGGCTGTGTAATTGTGTAGCAATCTTAAGAAAGCTTCATTACATGGAGGATACAGATCCCACGAAGGTATTACCGCATCTGGTATGAAAATATATAAATTATGGTGCCACCAATTGAACTTCGATGGTTCAATTCGTAAGTTTCGCAAGATCCTAGTTGTAACTTGGGAGTTTCAAGACGGGGGAATAGCAAGAAAAAGCGCATGATTCAGGCCAAGCTGTCTACTACCAAAAAAACAGCCGCATCTTGCCTAGTGTGCGGGACCTGCCATTTAGTATGGCAGGAGCAGCGTTGTCGCGGCAGCTGCGGCCGATTTGAATTGATCAACAGAATCCTGCTATGTACCGTAATGGTTCCTTGCATTACCACACCATTCTACACTTGAGCTTGCTTCTCTCCTTTGGACATTTCTTCCATCTCAAGAGCATCATAGGTTGCCGTTCCCTTGCCATCAAGCCTGCCATGAGCACGGCCATCAGCAACACCTGCACGAGCCGCCGCATCGGAGTCAGAGGTGCTGCCAGGCACTCAATTGCTGCACTGCCCGCTGCCTGCGCTGGCTGCCCTGGGCGCGAGGGGAGGCGAGGCGAGTCGCGGGTGGGCGTGGCCACGAGGACTGACGCTGGTGGGCAGCTGCACATGTGAGGATACGTTGAAGTCCCGGGTGCCGCAGACGAGTAGAGCGAGGCGGGGTGGTGCAGCAGCTAAAGTTTCTCCGAGGGCATGTCCGGGTAGTCAGGGAGAAGCTCATCAGTGAGCGCGTGCACCCGGTGGCCTTCAGACGACTTTTGAGTCGACTCAAAAGGCAGCTAAAGTTGGTCCGAGGGCGTGACCGGGTGGTCAGGGAGGAGCTCGTCAGTGAGCGCGTGCACCCGATGGCCTTCAGACTCACGTGCCTTGTTGCGCGACACCCTGCCACACAGGCACACACACACGCGCACGCACGCACGCACGCACGCACGCACGCACGCACGCACGCACGCACGCACGCACGCACGCACGCACGCACGCACGCACGCACGCACGCACGCACGCACGCACGCACGCACGCACGCACGCACGCACGCACGCACGCACGCACGCACGCACGCACGCACGCACGCACGCACGCACGCACGCACGCACGCACGCACGCACGCACGCACGCACGCACGTGCGCGTGCACGCGCGCGCGCACGCACGCACGCACGTGCGCGTGCACGCGCGCGCGCACACACACACGTACGCACGGCGCGCGCGCGCGCGCACACACACACACACATGCACACACGCGCGCACACACACACACACACACACACACACACACACACACACTCACACACACGCACACACACACACACACACACGCACACGCACACACGCACACGCACACACGCACACACGCACACACAGACACGCACACACGCACACACAGCCACGCACGCACGCACACACAGACACGCACACACGCACACACAGACATAGCGCTTTGTACCACCACAGCTGCCGCCACGAGACACAGCCATCGCCACAGCGCCTGGCATATGCAAGAGTGCTGGTGGACACCCAGATATGCACGCAGCGAGACTTCCGTTCTGAAGAGGTGGCGGCAGGCAAGCAATGTTTATCGCATGTGCCTTGCTGCACTGTGCCTTGCTGCACTGTGCCTTGCTGCACTGTGCCTTGCTGCACTGTGCCTTGCTGCACTGTGCCTTGCTGCACTGTGCCTTGCTGCACTGTGCCTTGCTGCACTGTGCCTGTGCCTTGCTGCGCTGTGACTTGCTGCGCTGTTCCTTGCTGCGCTGTGCCTTGCTGCTTCATGCATTGGCGTGCGGTGGGGCAGGAGGCGCATGGCGCTCACTTGTAGGCGTTGTAGAGGGAGACGCCGAGAATGATGATGACGATGCCCAGCACTTTGACACGCGTGAAGCGGTCGCCAAACACCATGTGCGACACCTGAGGGCGCACACATTAACGAAGGGGGCGACGCATGCGCATAGGTGTTATGAGTCGACTTAAATCACACTTTGACGAGCGTGAAGCGGTCGCCAAACACCATGTGCGACACCTGAGGGCGCACAACATAAGGAAGGGGGCGAGGGTGGGGTGACGCATGCACAGAGAAACAGGTGTGGTAGCACAGATGAGTGGATCAGCATCAGGGTGGCAGGAGCATATGGAGGAGAGAGCAACGAGCTGCAAATACATAGGCAGAAATGAAAGGATGAAGAGTCTTTTTGTTGCAGTTTCCCACCACAACATGCATGGATACATGTGCAAGTGCGAACAACTATGTTGTTACGCACCCATCGATGCACAATATGTGCCCCATCTATGCACAATATGTGCCCCATCTATGCACAATATGTGCCCCATCTGAGCACCATCTGGAGCATTCCCTAAAGCAGTCATGCGTTGCATGCCTCTCCTTCCTTTCTTCTCCCATTCTCACCGTCACCATTCCTCTCCCCCTTCCCATCCCCCAGTGTGGCTCACCAGGATGGTGACGACCTCCTTGGCGGTGCCGGCCACAGAGAAGGTGACAGCGCTGGTCTCTTTCACCAGCAGAAACTCCGCCCTGATCTGCCGTTTCAGGGTGAAGGGTGTGCCCAGCAATGCCCCAGTGCCCAGTGAACAGGGTGGGCGTGGTCTTGAGACGTCTCAAAACTAGAAGGTGACAGCGCTGGTCTCTTTCACCAGCACGAACACCGCCATGATCTGCCACACGACAAGGGTGGGGAAGGGCTGGTGGGAGTGGCGCACCAGAAGGAACACCGCAATGATCTGCCGCCCCCAGTGTTTAGTGTCCCGTGCCCAGGGGCCGGGGTGGGCGTGGGGGCAGGGAGGGGAAGGGCTGGTGGGTGTGGGGGCGGCGGGGCGGGTGACAAGGGTGGTGCTATATGTACGGACGCACGCACGCACGCACGCACGCACGCACAAGCACGCATGCACAGACACACACGCACGCGCGCTCACATACGCGAGCGCGCGCGCGCGCACACACACATGCAGAAACACGCATGCACAGACAAACGCGCACGCACGCACAGACACACGCGCGCGCGCGCACGCACGCACGCCCGCCCGCCCGCCCGCCCGCCCGCACGCACGCACGCACGCACGCACGCACGCACGCACGCACGCACGCACGCACGCACGCACGCACGCACGCACGCACGCACGCACGCACGCACGCGCGTGCGCGCACACGCACGCACGCACACACACAGACACACACAGACACACACACACACACAGACACACACACACACACACACAGACACACACACACACACACACACACACACAGACACACAGACACACACACACAGACACACACACACAGACACACACACACACAGACACACAGACACACAGACACACAGACACACACACACACACACACACACACACACACACACACACACACACACACACACACACACACACACACACACACACACACCATGCAGAAGGCGAGGACGCCCCCCAGAGGCAAGACGGCGAGGGTCCAGAGGGCGTGAGGCCACGTGTCAAAGTAGGGCGAGGAGGCGAGCGAGGACAAGGGCTCATGCAGCAGCGAGAAGATGCCGCACACGGGCGCCATCACGGGCGCCATCACGGGCGCCATCACGGGCGCCAGATACTCCAGCGTGAGCAGCGGGTTGGTGAGACCTGGTGGGGGGAGGGGGAGGGGGAGGGGGGGGGGGGGGCGTGAGATGCAGTTGGTGGGAGGCGAGGGGGACTAGGAGGAGTGGGAAGGCGATAGTGGCATGAGCATGGCGTGATCATAGTAAATAGGGGAGGAAGGGTGAGATACAGGAGGATTGTGGCGTGTGGCAGGAGCAAGGACAGCACACAGGCACAGTGAGTGGGGCTGCACAGCGCACACGCACTGTGTGGCTGCACCCGGCAATATGAGGTGAGTGAGGAGGAGGAAGGGGCAAGGCGACAGATGCTTACCAAGTGTGTCCCCCTGTCACCAGTGGAAGCGGCGACGGGGGTGGTGAGATGGTGAGTTGATGTTCCATGGAAAAATAGACACATGTTGTGAAAGTAAGGGGTAAACAGGAGACGGAAAGGGTGAGTTAGTCAGTTGATGCAGCAGCTGTCGGAGAAACAGCTCTGTTAGTCATCTGCCTGCATTCTGATTCTCTTCTTCTTCTCAGTTCCTTCTGCTGCCTCAGCCACTCTTATGAAAGAGTCAGAACTCCCACCTCAAGGGTCCTCTCCGAGTGGTGTGCCACCTAGCTGTGAGTTAAGGTAACAACTCTCCACTATGCGAAAGGATAACAAACGGAAAGCATCAGGGATGTGTGAGAGAGTGACTTTACCTGGCCTGGGCTCGAACCGTGCATTTCTCAATGTGCGGCTCGAGCCTGGGTTGGTTCAATCACATTGGTCGCGTGGATTTCCCCCTTGGTGCTCTCTTACCAACCTCGCGTCAACTTCCCTGGTCCCCCAACTACCTACCCTCGAATATTCATACTCAACATTGCTACACCAGAACCACACCAGAACTACACCTCAACATAACTGGCACCTTATATGCACAACCGTGCATATTCGGTGACAGCTGTCGGAGAAACAGCTCTGTTAGTCATCTGCCTGCATTCTGATTCTCTTCTTCTTCTCAGTTCCTTCTGCTGCCTCAGCCACTCTCTGCCCCCTCCTGTGCCCGTGCTTGAGCAGCTCGAGCGCGGGTCACAGGACCAGTACGCTGAGGCCCGGTCCCTCTGATCACGGCCGTGTTCGTCTGATGTTCCCTCAACAGCGCCCCTTTGTCGTTTTCCAAGACCAGCACCCCAGAAGGGCGCACCTCCTTGACTTTCCAGCGCACGGTCCCCAATCCCACGTCCAGAGTGTCCTGCTTCGCTCTCTTCAAATAAACTTCCTGCCCTTCCCAGACGCCCCTAGCCGTTCTCCCCTCACCCTTGTGTTGCCTCTGTTCGTATCTCCTGGCATCTCGCAGCTGTGCGGTGTGCAGATTCTCCAGCGCGGCTGGCATCATGTAGCGCATGTAGCGCGCTCTCACCTCGGACAGGGCTACCCAGTTCTTGATCGTGCCCGCTGTCACTGTGTCTGTCAATACCCGCGGTGCCCCCACTGGCAGAATTGGCTCTCGTCCATAGAGTAGGCTATACGGGGAATGATCCTTCAGCGCTGCCTGCTTCCCAAACCTGTACCCCGCTGCTATCCAGTCCAACTCATCATCCCAATCCCTCTTCCTCTGCTCCCCGTAGGCCCGCAGCCCTCGCTTGAAGGTCTGCACGGCTCGCTCGGTCAGCCCGTCGCTCTGCGGGTGGTAGCGGGAGGTCTTTCGGTGCGTGATGCCAGACTCCTCCAGCAACTTCTTGAACTCCCCTTGGAACTCCGTTCCCTGGTCGGTGAGCACCTCACCGCACGCTCCAATCCGACACACCACCTGTGCCTTGAAGGCTGCTGCAATATGCCTCTCTTGTCAGCAAGAGCCAGGTACTGCACTGTCCGCTCCCCCCATCTACATTTGTTGGGATGGCATGTGAGCCCTGCCCCTTCTATAGCACTCAATGTCCTCTCCACGTCTTCCAGGTGCTGCTGTTCGGTCCCGCTGAAGATCACCACGTCATCGATGTAGCACGCCGCACGTTCTATTCCCCGCAGAACCGCATCCATGACTCGCTGGAACACTGCTGAGGCGTTCCTTAGGCCGAAGGGCATGTACAGCCACTCGTACAACCCATCTGGTCCGTGGAAGGCCGTTTTCTTCACATCCTCCTCTCTGATCTTGATTTGATTGAATCCCTGGCGCAGGTCCAGCGTCGTGAAGAACACCCCGTCGGCCAACTTGTCGAAGAGTTCTTCCGCCATCGGCATCGGGTATCTATCCGGCACTGTGATTTTGTTGAGATCCCTGTAATCCCCGCACATTCTCCTGCTCAGCACCTCGCCTGTCAAGTCCTTCCTGGCTGCCACCACGGTTGGGGTGGCGTATTCGGACTCTGACCTCCTGATCAGTCCGGCTTCCAGCAGCTCCTTTATCTTCTCCCTGCAGATCGCTTCATCCCCTGGTGGCATCTTCCTCCTGCGGTGGAATACCGGCTCGTCACTGCTCAGCTTCAATGCCATCTCTTTGATCTTGCACTTCCCCAACTCCCGCAGGGTGAAGGCGAAGCCCTTCCGATGCTTGGCCAGCACTGCTCGCATTGCTGCCTTCCCTTTCTCGCTCATGCTTTCCCCTATCTTCCACTCTGGCTCCTCTTTCTGCAGGCAGGCCCACACCCCTTGCCGGACTGTCGCTACTGTGTTTTCTCCCTCCTTCAGTCCCCAGTGTAGCACCGTCTCCTTCCACATCCGCTGCACCAGCCATCTCATCATGTACCCATCCATAGCGTTCCCCAATGCCCGCCTCCTTTCCTTCTCACTCACGCCAGGGGCTGCTGTGGCATTCTCCTTGTACCCCATGGCCAGCTCTCTCTCCAAGGCCGCGGGCTCTTCCCACCGTCCTTTCTTGTGGTCCTTTATCAGTCCTGGGCCCGGCTGCTCTCCGTACATCCGGTATCCTGCTGCCCCCTCATATGACACCAGGGTGGGTAGTGCTTGCCTCTCCTGCCCCACCTGGTTACATGGATAGTGTCTGCTGTAGCTCCGTTTGTTCACTGGTGCTGGCGTTCTCCTTGGCTCCAGTATGTCGCTCAATTTCCGCCCCCCTGCTCTCTGCACCCCCTCTATCTCCTTCTGCAGGTCCTCCACTGGTACCACGTTCTGCCAATACATCCTAAGCCGGTGTGCGTATGCTCCCATTCGCGCCGCATCACTGCTCACCCCCTTGCCCACCTGCCTCGTTACTCTCTCCCTCACCAGTCTGACTGGTTCTCGTACATCTCCTTCCATGTCTAAATGTTCCAGCAGGTAAGCCAGCCTGCCCTGCCTAGCCTGCACCCACTCCATGATCTTGAACAGTTCCTCCATCAATTTGGTCCTGGGGTCTTGCTCGCCCTTACTCTTCCCTGCCCATGATACCCCCTGGCATTCCCACCCTGCCACCAGCAGATCCACATGCCCCCAGCTTGCTACCTCAGCTTCCGTGATAGCCCTTATATCGTCCACTCCTCTGCCCATTGCTGCCTTAATCACCTCTCCCTTCAGCAGTTCCGGAAACTCTCTGTGTAACTCCCACGCAAGATGCTCCGCTATTTTCCTCACTTCCGGTGCCTGCTCCACGTAAATCCATTGCTTGACTGCAATTCCATTCCGCACCACTGCTGCCAGTCCCGCCCCTATTCCTCCGAACAGTTCCACCAGCCGGATGGGTTGCTGCCAATCGGTTTGTTGGCCAGGCTCGTCCATGAAACGCATCCTGGGCGCCCCGCCCTTTCCTTCGCCTGCCGCGCTGTCCTGTGCCCCCTGTCTTGCTGTCCCCTCTCTCTGGTCCGCCCGGTAAGCCCTTTTTGGCTCTGTCTTGACAAACTGCACAGGCAGCTGCCCTAGTGGCTCACCCTTCCTCCACCACCTGGTCCGGAACTCCACTGTCTCCTTCCAAAAGCAAATGGTCATGCCCAATGCAAAAATCATCTCTGTTCCCACCAACACGTCAAAATCCTCAGATTCTGAAATCCCGCACCTGATTCTGACTGGCGTTTCATGTTTCTCCCCCTTCAGCACCGTCAGTTCTATCGGAGTCCTTGTGCACGGCATCCACTTCGACTCTCCTCCCTCTGCTGTCATCACTAGCATCCCCTTCACCACGTGTCTGTCAGGTGCCCACAGTCCCAGCTTCTCGGCCATCCCCTTCCCTAGTATAACGCTCTGCGCTCCAGTGTCTATGATCGCCGTCTTAGCCTTCTCCCCTTCCACTGACAACGCGCCACCTTGGATCAGCAGCACAGAGGTCTGGCATGCCAACCTCTCCTGGGGGTGCCGTGCCGCAGTGCATCTCTCTTCCTTTTCTTCCGGTTTCTGTCCTCTCTCCCGCTCCTTCCTCTCCTGCTCCTTCCGTGCATCTTTTCCTCCGCTGCGCAGCCCCAGCTCCTCTCTTCCTCTCCATGCCATGTACGCTGGTTGCTCTTCATGTTCTACCTCATTCTCTTCTCCTCCTCCCCAAACCATGAATGCGGCTTCCTCGTCCTGCCCCACATCTTCCTCCTCCTCTTCCTTGGCGTACATCCCCGCCTCTGCTTCACGTCGTGGTCCCATTGCCTGCAGCTGGGCTTGTAGCCTGCTGATCTGCTTCTCCAGATCTTCTGGCGTCTTCTTCGCCGCTCCCTCTCGCTGATAGCACTCTTTTGCTGCATGCCCTCCCTTCCCACAGACTTCGCACTTCGGCGCCGTTGGACATTCCCGCCGCCGGTGTCCTGGCTTGCCACAGGAGTCGCAGTTTTTACAGTCTCTGCGCAAGTGTCCTGGCTGTCCGCATCTGTGGTACGTCTGCGTGTCAGGCCTGGTTTCCCCTCGACCCGCCGCTCTGTCCTTCTCCTCTGGTATCATGGCTGCTGCCCATGTAGGTCCCCTGCCTCGCTCCGCTGGTCGGGGCCGGTAGGCTTCATATTTCCTCTGTGCCAGCTCCATCTTCTCTGCCATCTCAAACACTTCATCTAGCGTCGTGTCAGCCCCCATCTCGTACACCTTCATGCGCAGCCCGCTCCCCAAAGTGCCCTCCAGCCCGTCCAGGAATTTGCTCACGAGCAGGCCCATATCTGCACAAGTCACATCCTCCGCCAGGTTAACCAGCCGGTTGTAGTAGGTGAGCAGCGACTCACCCCGCCCCTTCCTGAAATCCTGGAATTCCCTTATCTTCTCTGCGGTGTGGCCTGGAAACTGCCGCTGCAGCCGCCTTAGGAATGCTTCCGTTGGGTCTTCCCCGTACCTTCCTGCTCTCTCCATCAGCTCATCCATCTTCATCCTGTACAGTGTCTCTGCCTCCCCTTTCAGTGTGTTCGGCAGACTCAGGAAGAAGTCTACCGAGTCCATGCCGCTCCTCTCACATCTGTACCGCACGTTGCCCACTTGCATCAGGTAATTCTTCAGCGTGGGCCCCGTACGCTGATCTCCTGAGAAGCGTGCTGGCACCTCCACCCTCGTGACCATGGCCGTGCTTCCCCTGCCTTCTCCCCATGCCTCGCTCGGCCCTCCTGCCGATCTCCCTGTTGCTCCTCTCTCTCTCGCCCGCTGTATTCCCTCCCTTGCTTCTCTGGCTCGCTCCAGGCTGTGCATCAGCCCGCTGCCTCCCTCTCTGCTGCCGCGTTGATCCCGTCCTCCCTCACCGGCACGTCTTCCGTCGTGTTGCCAACGCCGGCCAGGCGAGCGAGACCCACTGCTGTGCCTCCCGCCCCTGCTCTGTTGCCGATGCTGCGAACGGTATCCGCCTTCCCGGCTTTCTTCATGTTGCAGGTGCCAGTCAGGCGAGCGCGCCTCGCTTCCCCACTTCTCTCCACGGTACCGTTGCATGTCAGGCGAGCGATAGCCACCTCCGCGTCTCTCATTACGAGAGTAATGAGGATCTGGTGAGCGCAGATCCCCTCCGCTTCTTCCGCCGTGATACCTCCGCGGATCTGGCGAGTGCGCACTGCCCCCGCGCCCACTGTCCCGGTGCTGCCGCGGATCTGGCGAGCGGTAGCCGCCTCCGCGCCTCTTCTCATGCAGCAGCCGCAGATCTGGAGAGTGGTAGCCGCTTTCGCGCCTCCCGTCATACTGCAGCCGCGGATCTGGCGAGCGCACGCCGTCGTCGCGTCCCCCGTCACGGTTCTGCCGCGGATCTGGCGAGCGCACACCGCCTCCCCTTCCCCCATCACGATGTAGCCGCGGATCTGGCAAGCGCGCGCCGCCGCCGCGTCCCCCGTCACGATTCAGCCGCAGATCTGGCGAGCGCGCGCCGCCACCGCGTCCCCCGTCACGATTCAGCCGCGGGTCTGGCGAGCGCGCGCCGCCACCGCGTCCTTCGTCACGTTGCTGACGCGGATCCGGAGAGCGCGAGCCACTACTACGCTTCCCGCCGTCACTCTTCTCTCCGCCGCACGGCTGGTTCCGAGCACCGCTCTTTCCGTCCGCCTCCGCCGTGCTTGGCTCCGCCGCCACGCCCGCCTGCGCGGGGTCGTCGTTGTTGACTCCAGCGGGCATATCGCGCTGCTCGCCTGCGCCTTCCACCTGGGATGCGTCATCGCCCTTGGTTTCGCCTTCGCGATTCGGCTCCTGCACATGATTCGCCGTGTCGGCCTCGTCTTCTCCATCCACATCAAGATCGCCTTGGCGACCCGAGAAGAGCTCCTCCAGACCACGCCCGCGACTTCGATCTTCGCGACGGCGATAGCCTTCCTCCGGCGAGCGGTATGCTCCCGTGTCCTGGCGATACCCATGACCGCCGGCGGCTCCGTGGCGCTCGTCCATCCGCCATGGGTCACTCCCCATCATGGCGGATCCAGATCCGCCCCTTCCTTCTCGAGCGGATCCCCCCCCCTGGCGATCTGGCGCGAGAGGGACCTGATCCGCGCAAAAGGCCGGCCTCCGCGGCGATCGCTCAGGCCGCCGCGGCGACCTCTCCAGTGAACGCCCGCGCTCACGTGAGCGTTCGTAGTTCCTGCCATAACGCAGCTCGTACACATCCATGCTCGTACGCGCACCTTTCCGTTTGTTATGAAAGAGTCAGAACTCCCACCTCAAGGGTCCTCTCCGAGTGGTGTGCCACCTAGCTGTGAGTTAAGGTAACAACTCTCCACTATGCGAAAGGATAACAAACGGAAAGCATCAGGGATGTGTGAGAGAGTGACTTTACCTGGCTTGGGCTCGAACCGTGCATTTCTCAATGTGCGGCTCGAGCCTGGGTTGGTTCAATCACATTGGTCGCGTGGATTTCCCCCTTGGTGCTCTCTTACCAACCTCGCGTCAACTTCCCTGGTCCCCCAACTACCTATTTCCCCCTTGGTGCTCTCTTACCAACCTCGCGTCAACTTCCCTGGTCCCCCAACTACCTACCCTCGAATATTCATACTCAACATTGCTACACCAGAACTACACCAGAACTACACCTCAACATAACTGGCACCTTATATGCACAACCGTGCATATTCGGTGACACAGCACACACAGCAGCACACACAGCAGCACAGCAGAACAGCAGTACACAGCACACACAGCAGTACACAGCAGCAGGGACCAGCAGCAGGGAGCAGCGGCGGCTTACCTGCAGGAGCACTTGCAGCAGCACCCATCGGAGGCCCGCCATGAAGGAGGCCAGCATGACGAGGATGAATCCCACCAGCTCAAACTCCGTCTCCCCCGCCACTGGGAGCGAGCACCACACGCACGCCACTCGTGGGCACAGCACACACCACACACCACACGGCACAGCACAGGGAAGGTCGAAAGCGCGGATCAGGCGTTGCAATCAAGGTGGAAAAAACGATTGTGGAAAAAGGTAAGGGAATGGGCGCGGCGTTGCGATGCCCATTAGGGGGTGGAGCGCACGGGAAATGGAAGTGATACAAGAGGAGAATTGAGGATCGGTAGAAAAAAATGCCGGATGATCATCGCATTTCCTTCCCTCCCAGCCCCCTCGCCTTCCATTCCCCCTCGTCCCCCCTCCTCCCCACTCCCTCCCCCACCTATGCAGAGCACGCCGACAGAGATGATGAGTATGATGCCCAGCAGCTTGCAGCTTGGCGTCTCCAGCCTTTCAGCTTTTGAGGCGCCTCATGAAGCGGCTTTTGAGACGCCTCAAACCCCCCCCCTCCCGTCCCCCCTCGCTCGTCCTCCCCCCCCCCCACCTATGCAGAGCACGCCGACAGAGATGATGAGTATGATGCCCAGCAGCTTGAAGCTTGGCGTCTCCAGCCTTTCAGCGGGCACGGGGGGGTGGAGGCGTGGGGGAGAGTAGGAGGGGAAGGGGGGAAGAGGTGGGCTAGTGATGAAAATGAGGGGAGTAAAATCATTACTGAAAATTGTTACTGGCAACGGTGATGACGGCCGCAGCCGGGAGAACTGAACTGCTGGTGGTAAGGAGGGTGGCGAAGAGAAGTGCGTCAACTGTGTGGGCACAGCAGTAGTTAGCAGTCATGTATGGTGGATGGCATGGCAGTCACGGTTAGGATGGCATGGCAGTCATGGTGAGGATGGCATGGCAGTCACGGTGAGGATGGCATGGCAGTCACGGTGAGGATGGCATGGCAGTCACGGTGAGGATGGCAGTCACGGTGAGGATGGCATGGCAGTCACGGTGAGGATGGCATGGCAGTCACGGTGAGGATGGCATGGCAGTCACGGTGAGGATGGCATGGCAGTCAGGGTGAGGATGGCATGGCAGTCACGGTGAGGATGGCATGGCAGTCACGGTGAGGATGGCATGGCAGTCACGGTGAGGATGGCATGGCAGTCACGGTGAGGATGGCATGGCATTCACGGTGAGGATGGCATGGCAGTCACGGTGAGGATGGCATGGCAGTCACGGTGAGGATGGCATGGCAGTCACGGTGAGGATGGCATGGCAGTCACGGTGAGGATGGCATGGCAGTCACGGTGAGGATGGCATGGCAGTCACGGTGAGGATGGCATGGCAGTCAGGGTGAGGATGGCATGGCAGTCACGGTGAGGATGGCATGGCAGTCACGGTGAGGATGGCATGGCAGTCACGGTGAGGATGGCATGGCAGTCACGGTGAGGATGGCATGGCAGTCACGGTGAGGATGGCATGGCAGTCACAGTGAGGATGGCATGGCAGTCACGGTGAGGATGGCATGGCAGTCACGGTGAGGATGGCATGGCAGTCACGGTGAGGATGGCATGGCAGTCACGGTGAGGATGGCATGGCAGTCACGGTGAGGATGGCATGGCAGTCAGGGTGAGGATGGCATGGCAGTCACGGTGAGGATGGCATGGCAGTCACGGTGAGGATGGCATGGCAGTCACGGTGAGGATGGCATGGCAGTCACGGTGAGGATGGCATGGCAGTCACGGTGGCGTGGCTCACCGGAAGAGGAAGGCGAAGAGGAGGAGGAAGACACCCGCGCTGGATTTGCACTGGGACATGCGCAGGCAGGGGAGGGGATATGGTGCAGGAGAGAGGTTTTATGCCACTGTTGACGCGCGAGTCAATTATTCTACTCTATGCATCGCAACGTGCTGTGTGTGTGTGGAGAGCGCACCCAAATTTGAGTGCCACACTGGACTCTTTCTGAAACGGATAAGACATTGCCCCCACTTTTGAGCGCACCCACTTTTGAGCGCACCCACTTTTGAGCGCACCCACTTTTGAGCGCACCCACGTAAGTGGAACATTTTGACCAAGACTGCAGTGAATGAAGCAGATAAGATATCGCACAGTGATGACGAAGGGCGGGAAGGAATGCGTACCATGGTGTAGAAGGTGAGGGTGACGAGCGCGAGGGAGAGGTTGGAGAGGGCAATGTCCAGCGATGTGGCGACTCCCGTGGGCACCACTGCATGCACGCACGTGGCACGGCACAGCAGCGCATGGGGTGAAGCAGCACACGGGGCACAGCACACGGGGCGCAGCACAACAGCACACGGGGCACAGCACAACAGCACACGGGGCACAGCACAACAGGACACGGGGCGCAGCACAACAGCACACGGGGCACAGCACAACAGCACACGGGGCACAGCACAACAGCACACGGGGCACAGCACAACAGCACACGGGGCACAGCACAACAGCACACGGGGCACAGCACAACAGCACACGGGGCACAGCACAACAGCACACGGGGCACAGCACAACAGCACACGGGGCACAGCACAACAGCACACCGGGCACAGGCCGACACACGTTTAAACAAGTAAGCATCCATTAGACAGTCGCCTGAACCAGCCTCAATGGTCACGTTGCAGGACGTGCATGCATGAGCTCCCGAGCGTGCCCATGCCCACTCCCTCCCACCCACACGGCGTACCTCGCACGAAGTAGTCGCGCCAGGCGAGGCGGGCAGCCACGAGTGGCAGCAGCAGCGCAGCAGCAGCGAGGCGATGCCGCCCTGCACCAGGAAGTGCACGGTGGTCATCATTAGCGGCGCCGGGAAGCGCCCGTGCGTCTTGCCGATCAACGCCTTGATGTACCTGCCAAGTGCCCACCCGCCCGCCCGCCCGCCCGCCCGCCCACCCACCCACCCACCCACCCACACCCACCCGTCCACCCACCCACCCACCCACACCAACCCGTCCACCCACCCACCCACCCACCCACCCACACCCACCCGTCCACCCACCCACCACCGCCCCCCCCGTGTGTACATGCATGGCATGAGAGTGCGATGCATAGCGGGAGTGCACGGGTACAGCAGGGGGCAAAAACGGGTTTCTTGCCAAGGGAAATACGGGCGAACGGGCCCAGTGGTTGGCCAGCCCATGGGGCTCGTTTCGTTGTCTAAAAACAACACGAGTTGATGGAAGTAAGGCCTCCGCGTGCCGCCTGTTCGTTACTGCAATGCAACGGCCCGGAGGATGGCCAGCCCTGTGAGAGACTTGATCACGTACTGGGAGAGTGGCAGCTACAGGGAGGGGTGGCTACACAGGGAAAGAGGCATGCTTACAGGGAACGCGGCATGCTTACAGGGAGAGCGCCGTGCTTACAGGGAGAGCGCCGTGCTTACAGGGAGAGCGCCGTGCAGGGTTAAAAAAAAAGGCCGTTTTATTGAAATTTTACCGTAAAAAACGGTACCGTAAAAAACGGTCGTAAAAAACGGTTTAAAACGGTTCCAGGAGGTGTTTCCTCTATAACTAACAAAACGGCCACTTAGTGGGACCAAATTGAACCCGAAATGCAGCAGCATGAACAAGGTTAAAAAATACGACCGTATTTTTGAAAATTTACCGTAAATTACGGTATCGTAATTTACGGTCGTAAATTACGGTATCGTAATTTACGGTCGTAAATTACGGTAAAAAACGGTTTGACGTTGCAAAAATAGGTTGGTTCAAAAATACGGTCGTAAATTACGACCGAAAGTTTGAAACCGAGTTTGTGTATAGCGAATTTCAACATTTCCCAACCGTCAACCTGTTCGTGAGAATTTTCGTGGCCCCAAACCCACTCGAGAGTGTTTTTTTCCCGAGTCGCGAGTGTCAGCAAAATCTCGAGGCGCGACATTGTGCATTTTGGTGACAGTTCAACAGGTTTGTTGCCCATTCGCACACTCGTTTGTGTATTTCGCCGAATCGCGAATGTACAAATTTGTGCGACGCGGCAAATTGTACATTTGGCGAACGGATAACACAAGTCTACCCGTTTCGCCAAGTCGGTGGGTCGTTTCGCGGCCCGTTCGTTTTTTTCGCCCGCATGCGCTACTCAACTCAATTTCGACACACCTAAACCCTAAACCAATAGCGTTCGTCCAATCTTCATCCCTTCCATCTCATCCCTTTTGCATATTCCATTCGCCAACGCAACACCACCAAGTTAAACCAGGGCAAAAACCACCATTCTGTAGTGTAGTATGTTGTCGCCTTCCTTGTCATCGTTGTAAGCTTTCTAGGAATTTCTGGGAAAAAAAATTGCCGCAAAAAATGTCCATTTAAAAAACGACCGTATTTTTGCCAAAACCACCGTAAATTACGACCGTAATTTACGAGCCGTAATTTACGTTTACCGTATTTTTGAACCTTGAGCATGAAGGGGATGGACCCCTTCTTGCATGTATGCGCTTGTTGGCATGATTGAAAATGTTTTTGACCTTGTTTTTCTCTTTTTTTTCTTGGTGAACAGAGTTCTCTAACAAAAAAACGGCCGTTTTTTTGAAAAATCACCGTAAAAAACGACCGTAAAAAACGGACCGTATTTTACGAAAACCGTAATTTTGAACCTTGGCGCCGTGCTTACAGGGAGAGCGCCGTGCTTACAGGGAGAGCGCCGTGCTTACAGGGAGAGCGCCGTGCTTACAGGGACAGCGCCGTGCTTACAGGGAGAGCGCCGTGCTGAAGGTGTGCCAGAGCACCACGAGCCCCACCACCTTAACCGCCGTCCACAGCCACGGCGCGCACCATGGCGACGCGCCGCGCCCACCAGACGCCGATGCTGACTCAGCAACGTCATCTTCCAGGTCCGCTGGCACGATAACGTCTTCGCCATTATTCGCTATAAGCCGACTCGATTCCCCTTTTGGCGAGACGGCCGTGATCGTTTCGGCATGGATGGCATCGCTTGTGGCGAATCGCGGCGAGAGAAGCGCTTGGATCTCATTGGTCGACATGATGGCGAACAGGAACAGCTACGATGGTCAAACCTGAACTCTTGTAAATGTATTCTCGTGGCAAGGTGACGTTGAGCTTCGATCATAAGCTTCAGCGCGAAGAGATGGACTAGCGTGACTGGGTGTCGCGCACAAGGTCGCCAGATAACACGCGACTCAAAATTGCTACGCTTGGAGCTTTCTTCCACAGCAAGATCGACCCGCGCATCGAGCGACTGCACGCGCTAGTCGCTCAAATTGCCCATAAGACGCCGTGACAGAAGCAGGAGAGTGGCAGCGCGGGCAGCGCGATGAAGGATGGCACGCTGCTCTGCTTCCGGGCTGGTCCAACACAGTACATGGAACATTTTAGCTACCTGAAACGTACCAAGCTCCTATGGTCACCAATGTAACGCCTGTGGGTTGAGTACCTCCGCTGCGCCTCAAATAGAACCCTCGTTTTGACCCAGTGGGTAGCGAGGTGTTACAACCAAAATCCAGTTGCTAGCAGCCACGAGGAGTCTAGGAAGTAATGTCGCCCGTGAGCCGGTTGAGGGCGTGTCCAAATCTTCATATCTCAGGTCAATTATGCTCTTGTATCAATTTTCCAGAAGGGTCCGTCAATTTTGAACCTGGAAAATTGACGCGTTTGCTTCCCTTCGTACACACGCAGGATACCACCAGCCTTGTTTGTGAATCGTGTGGTTTTCGAAAGTGTTGCAAACTCCAGACAGGGTTACTCCTTTTCTGCAAAGTTCATGTTTTCCGCGTCCAATCAGAGACGTCGGTGGTCAAAGGGTACCCTTGAATAAGCTTACGATTTCATGTTTTTTCTCGAATGTTTCAATTCGTGGAGCGAAGATTGCGTGTCAGCGTGGTGCCCCGAGGACGCTGCATGAACTTGGTTCGGATGTTTGTCATCCGAAGCGTCCTTACTTCGTTGTACTGATGTAATTTCCGTGAAACAGAAAACAATGACCCGCCCTGATCGAAGCATTTTTCGTTTGTGCAATGTTCGCGTTAGGGTTGCGAAGGCGCAGTTGGTGCGTCGCGGCTGTTCGACGGGGCCTACTGATGGGCCGCTTCAGACGTCAACTAAGCGGCGGCGCGCTCACGCTGTGCCTCCTCACGTGTTTTGCTGACTCTCCAGTCCGTCATAGATCCCTCCCAAGGTCCGTTATTTCGCCTCCGTTTCAGTCTCTCGTCCCTCCCGTCACCATCATGGTGTCGCACTGTGTTACAACCATTTCGCCGTGCCTCGCACCATGTCGCCCACCTCCTCAACGCCACGGCACAGCTTCAGGCTCGCTTCCCTCCGTCCCCCTACGGGCTGTCGATTTCCTCCCGTTTGCATCCCCAGTGTGTGCTCGGCTTATTGTGGCGTGGAGCGCATTTGCATCTGAAAAGCGGAGCGACAGTCAGGGGCGGTGTAGTGGGCTAGGGTTGTGCTGCGAGGGACGTGGGTGCATCTCATTGCATGACTCTCATTCGTTACATCCTGTCTCTCGCTTCCCTCTCTTTCTCTGGTTTTTCTCCCCCCTCCCCCCTCCCCTGCCCCCTTCCCTCCCGTTTTCAACCCCTTCCTGCTCATGGGTTTATTGTTGCTCCACCCATTCCCCTCCCCTCGTCTTCTCCACGATATTTTATCCTTATCGAACTCTCCGTCCACCCCTCTCTGCTGCCCACCACCCTCTCTGCTGCCCACCACCCTCTCTGCTGCCCACCACCCTCTCTGCTGCCCGCCACCCTCTCTGCTGCCCCTGCCTGGCTCCTGCCCTCACCCGTCTGCTGCGCCCTCACTTGGGTGCGCCTTTCGAACTTGCGGCGCCCAGTGCCAGTGCTGCAGGACTGCCAGCAGGCGTGGGGGAGGACGTTCGAGGGGTGGCAGGCAGGAGCCATGTGTGGGCCGTATGGGCCGACGCCACATGCACAGAACATCACGTGCAACGCGCAAGGCATGATCGATGCAATGTAGGTGACGCACGGGAGCAAAGCATGGGGTATGGGAACGAAGCATGGGGTATGGGAGCGAAGCATGGGGTATGGGAGCGAAGCATGGGGTATGGGAGCGAAGCATGGGGTATGGAGTGAAGTATAGTAGGGTATGGGATGGGTGGGAAGCATGGGGCATGCGAGCGAAGCATGGGGCATGCGAGCGAAGCATGGGGCATGCGAGCGAAGCATGGGGTATGCATTGGGTTAGGCACTCGGACTGGACCCAGACCCTTCAGCACCGACCAACCATCCCTCCAGGGGCTGGACTTTGACTGGTTTTTCTCACTCCAGCCCCAACCTAGGACTGGTCACCGAAGTTTTTTCCTCAGTACCAAGCTCACACGCAATCGCTTTGCATCGGTTGCTGTGCTCCACTCCGGGGACTTCAACCTTTGACCAGCCGCTGGGACCCGCTATCACAGGCTGCTATAGGCCTGCGACAGGCCGGCGGCCGGCCCATGATTAGCCTGCAACACACGGTTTACTCCAGTCGCACATCAGTTTTCGATTCGTTGGCAGTTTGTGCCACAGATCTGGACAGAGCTGGCTTCAAACGTGACGGGCTGCGGGATGGGGCTTGGCATAGGCCGTGCTTCAACACTGACCCCAACCGTGCTTCAACACGGACCCACCCGAGCCTGTTGCTTGAAATGCGTTGTGGCAGCGTGTGAATGTAGAAAGCGTGGTTTTTCACATTGAGAATCAGTGAAACATATAAAGTCCATCTTCTCTGGTCAAATTGACCGCCTGCAAAAGCAAGAGCCGCTGTGAAATTCCCCTTATGTACCCATTCTTCCCCGCGCGTATCGCCAACCCACATCTGCAATGTCAGGGTGCTGACGTACATGACTATTAGGGGACCCCTTCCAGAGTCGTTGGGGAGTCTCACCAGCCTGA